CCCCAAAACCCCAAAACCCCAAAACCCCAAAACCCCGGGAGTATGGTATAATAATGAAATCATGATGAGAAAATTGGATAGTGTAGTTTTTAAAAAAACTATTATTTTAATGGGTGCTTATTAATGCTCAAGATACTGCGATTGCTCCAATAATACAGACACAGATATCTCAAAAAAAGAGAAATTGAAGCAAGAGGCTAGTCGAATTGTTGAAAATGATCTGATGAAAAGATTTAAAAACAATCAGCAAAGATATTATCAGATGATACAACAACAGCAATAAAAATAATACCCTTCAATAGGAAATGGATACTACAATAAATTCCAGCTCTTTGAAAGGTTTTCATCCACGCATGTTTAAGATGTTTATGAATTCGAAGAACTAATTGGAAAGGGGCATTTTGCTTAGGTCTACAAAGTGCATTCTGTAGTTGATCCTACCAGGAAATATGCTATTAAGAGTATTGATAAAAACACAATTTCTGAAAAGTCATTGAGAAGAGTTAATATTGAAATTGAAAATCTAAAATTGTTTGATCATCCAAACATCATTAAGTATCACGGCACTTTTATTGATTAAAGAAACATTCATATTGTAATGGAGCTATGTGAAGGGGGAGAAGTCTTTTAGAAAATTACTAACTAGCCAATGCCAGAATTGGAATCCTCTTAAGTAATAACTTAGGTTCTTTATACCTTGAAATATCTGCATAGTCTTAATATAGCTCACAGGGATCTCAAACCAGAAAATATAATGTTTTCAGAGATCATTGAATCTTAGTCTGGAGCGGAATCTACTTTTAATGATCCTGAGATTAAGATTATAGACTTTGGTCTTAGCAAAAAGATTAGCAAGGGTCAGCTAATTACTGAGGACACAATTATTTAAGATCAACCTCGCTTTACAATGCATCAAGAAATGTTTAACTCAATAGTTGGGACTCCTTATTATGTTGCTCCTGAAGTTCTTTCACAGTATTATGATGAAAGATGTGATATTTGGAGTGTAGGAGTGATAATGTACATCTTGCTGTGTGGCTATCCCCCATTTAATGGGAAAACTTCAAGAGATGTTATTCATGCCTTAAAACAAGGCTATGTTAACTTCAAAGGTGAGGAATGGTCTCATGTTTCAGATGAGGCTAAAGATCTTATTTAAAGATTAATAAAAAAGTAGGAAAGCAGAATATCAATAGAGGAAGCCATTCGACACAAATGGTTTGATGACATGCGAATGTAGAAAAAAACTTTATCTTCTTCTAGTACTCATCTAGATAGTTCCATTCAGATTACTTAAAATTTAGATGAGTTTGAGTAGCATATCTTTGAAAGACTAATGAGGCATAAGAAACTCTGCAGATTTCAATAGATAATACTTAAGTTTCTTTTCGATTTGATTTAGTCTTCAGTCCTTAAGCCTTATATTAGGGTGTTTTAAGCTGCAGATTAAAGTGGCAATGGCTGTGTAACTTTTGCAGATTTTTATTCCTTTATGAGAACTTTTGATTTAAAGCTTACTCTAGATTAGCTGTAGTCGATTTTTACTTCAATTAATATAAGTGGATCTATTTGTATTACCTATTCTGAATTTATGATGGCTGCTATTGATTTTGAAAAATTTGTGTAGCCTTAAGATTTGGATTATGCCTTTAAGTATTTTGATACTACTAATTAAGGTATCATAAGTCACAAAGATATTATGTCAATTAAAAGAAGAAAAGGAATAGTTGTTTCAAAATCAGAGTGCAAGCAGATAATAAGAGATGCAGTCAAAAATAAAAGCGATCAGATTAAATTTGATTAATTCACTAAAATTATGTATCAGGCTTTTGATTGAAATAAGCTTCGGATTTATGAAAGCAATATAAATGGCTTTGGTCATCATTAATAATAACTAGTTAAATCGTTTCAAATTTATTAAGGAATCTATTAATTCCATTTAATTGCTTTAATCTTTTACATATATTTTATCGATGGCTTAAGGGTTGGGGTTTTGGGGTTTTGGGGTTTTGGGGTTTTGGGG